ATTCAGACAAAGTATCCAAAATACTCTTCTAACTGATTGTCCTCTGCAATACTAGTGCTAGGTAAAATGGTTCTCCTCATGCAGAACTACCTGCTTTGAGGGAGACCTGTGAGATAAAAACATAAAGGCAGTAAGAACAGCCCTCGACCACATGAAAGCCAGGCCAGGTCAAATGAGAGCCCAGGTCTCCTTGCTGTCTTTCCCAGTTCTAGATTTGGGAATTTAGATTCCCAAATCTAAATTCCCCTCTTACTCCTCTTCTAATGAAACAGCTGGTGAGCTAGGAAGAGCTGGAAGGACATTCCTCAGCTTCACAGTTATACTGCTTTATACTGATTTACCCCTAACGCCACCGAAGTCAGCAGAGTTAAACCAACATCATAGAGAGACCAGGTCATAGCCAGAATAAAAGCAAAGTAAGCTAACCCTTTGCTGGTAAAATACAGAAGGGCATGCTTGTCTTCATCGGATGAAGGTGCAAATGGAAATAATGATACCTTAATTGGTCAGATACCTGTAAAAGCTTATGAAAAATTGCTATTGTCACATAAGCTGAAAATAAAACGGGAGACTTTAAAATCTTTTACAACAGCCTGTGGTCTGTTCTGCTACTCACTTCCGCTTGCAGAGGGCTCACCTATGTGATACATAAGGGATGATAAGACCAAGGAAAAGGTCTTAAGTTTTAAGGATCTTCATCCTTAATAATGTGTAATGGTGAGTGGAGGCCACCATGTAGCAAGATCCAGGTACATGTTAGGATGGTGGGATTATGGAGTTGAAGCTGTCAGCACATCAATTCCAGCCTGAGTTCATTCAAGTGTCTTGAGCAAGTAAGTCAGTGGCAGGCAGCCAGAGCGCTGTGTGGTGATTTGAGAGCTATTAGCTGGAGTCACCCTGTTGATGAAAGCAAATGAAAGGACCTGCTGCTCCTCCTCCTACAGACTGCAGAAACGAGATAGGAGCAGGATTACTTCCAGAAGCTGCTGACTATGGCTGCTGTCATAAGGATAATCATAGCTGATACTCCAGGGCGAAAACAGTCACTACAGCGATCCCTCATGTATAAGATAAGCACTGTAAACTAGCAAAGGTGTTAATGTTTATACAGTCTCAGAAGAGTACCTGCGGCCTTACACACCTAGGTAGGTGTCTAGGATCTGCGTCCTGTGGAAGTTTTCAGCCCTTTTCTGTCTTCCTTCTGAAGAAACTGGTATTGCTTGCTGGGAGAGGTAGGATATAGGACTTGAGAAACCAGTCCTTTGACGCAGTTTGGCAAACTTCCTGATTCTAGAAAAGCCTAAGCATTAGACCCTGAAATTGTTTCAAACATGGGACACTGTACGGACTATCCAGCTTTTTGGAGCATTTTCCTTTAATGGTGTGACATATTTACATAATATGAACATTTTTGAAAGAGAACAAGGCTACATTACGGCAAGTGATAAAGGCATGAAAGCAACTGAAGCACCCTTCTCACCTGGTGCAGACAGTAACAGTTTTCCAGGCACTGAAGGCAGAATCTTATTGACCGTTGCTCTTCGAGGGAGTCTGGGAGCTCGTGGCTCTCAGCTCTGGTGGGAGTACTGGGTAGTTACGAGCTTCTGGTGATTTGCACTGTCACTAAAGGCTCTAGGCTCCAATATGGCAGCTTAAATCAAAAGCATATTTTTCTCCCTTTTATGTCTGTCTTCATGTCTGCGTCTCAGTAGTGAGGATTTGCTCAGGCCCTGCAGAATCGAGCTCTCTAATCCATTTCCCTCATGTTAACTTTTGATGCCATGTCCTGACTGGGCTGCTGCCAGGAGTAGCCTTTTGGTAATCCCAGCTGCAACCATTATTTGTGCCACCCCTTCTCCCTGGGGGCTAGTGGAAGGGAACAACAAGGCACGTAACTGCTGTGTGAAGAAACAGATGCTGTTTTGCTCCTGTTCAGGTCCCTAGTGCCTGCTTTGGATTCCATTGTGTTTAAATACAAATACAATAGTTAATAACTTTGTTCCATGCATTGTCCTCTTGAAGTGACTACATGAAGGGATTGGCTGGGTGGGGAGGTAATTCCATCTTTTGCTGAGCTGATTGGTGCAGTTTGTTCTGCCTTCTAAGTGCTGGGTAACTCCCCAGCAGCAGCAACCTCTCACTTAGAGGTAGTAACAGTTTAAACCTTGGTATGCTGTCACTTCCCTCAGCCCAGCCTCAGTTCCCTTGGCGCTGGTGGTAGCACCTAAGGTGTGCTCTTCCAGCATAGCTCATAGTTTGACTTCAGCTTGTAGAAGGTGGTGTAGCCTCTCCTGCATGCAATAACACTTTTGCTAAATAACGGTTAAAGCTCTGCCTGGCCTTCTAGTTAATGCAACTGTTGCTCCTGCCAGTACTAGCTAAGCACAGACAAGCTCTACCACTTACACTACAGCAGCGGCCAACCTACCTAGGTCACCTATCCTGCCCTCCTCTCTGAGGATCCCCTGCTTGCTAGAACGTGGCTCCCAGGAATAGTTTGACTCCATGTGTTGAGTTTTTGTATGTAGGGTGCTGCAAGGTCATGCCTTCCCATGAGGGTTCAGACAGGCAAGCCCTAGCCCCAGCTCTTCTGTGTGGACAGGAGAATGCTTCCCCAGCCTAACCTGGAGGGAGCAAGGTATCCTTATAACTTGACTTCAGATGTAAGAACTGTGACTGTCATTTTAATTACGTGGTGACTGGAAGTTCAAGGGAAACGGTGCCTCTTCACACTTTGTCTCGCCCTCTGCACAAGTTGGCTGCTATGGGTGAGATTTCTCAAGGTGCTCAGCACCAACTAGTTCTAAGTGGCTAATCCAGTAGCACTTTTAGGTGAACAACAGACTCGAGGGGTGTGCAGGGGAGAATGTTCTCAGCTGAGGTGTGTTGATGATGACACTGTTCTTTTTCTCTCCCTCCCTACCCCCAACCCACTCCCAATGAAGACACACAGAGCACTATGTCACTGGCATCCTGGTTCAGGTGGAATGAGCCCCCAAACCGCATTTCCCAGAGGAACCCCACAGAAATGGTGGTTGAGACGCTAATGATGGAGCTGAGCTGGCAGATCAAGCAGGCAGAGAAGCAGCAGCGAGAGCGGGAGAATGAGTATCGCAAGATCAAGACTGGGGTGGACTACGGCTGGCTGGTCAGCTATCCAAAGCAGAGCTATGATATCAGCCCAGGAGAACGGCTGCAGCTGGAGGATATGTGTACCAAAATACATCCTTCCTACTGTGGGCCTGTCATACTCAGGTACAGTAAAAGATCTGATAGTACAGACCTTTCCTTTCCCCCTCTCTATGATATATGAGGAAGGAACGAGAGTTGTTAGGACCAACAGAACAAAAACTTGTCATCCTGTATTATAAGTCACATTGGGACAGTGTCTTTGTGGAAGAAGGGAAATCTAATGTTTTAAGTCAGTTTAACATGGTATCATTTCCTCCAAAAAGTTACTAAATGCCATTTGCCTCTGAGACTGGCTTGAGTACTTCATGCTCCTGAGCAGCCAGAGAAGCTTTATCTTGCCTGATGAACAGTTACCATTTCAGTATTGTGATGGCTTTTGCTTCAGTCTTTAGAATCTTAGAATAATTGAGGTTTAAAGGGACCTCTGGAGGTATGTGCTTCAACCTCCTACTCGGACTAGGATCAACTTCAAAGTTAGATCAGGTTGCTCAGGGCCTTGTCCTGTCCATTGTTGAATATCTCCGAGGGTGGAGATTGCACAGCCTCTGAACAACCTGCTTTGGTGTTTATCCACTCCCATCGGAGCCTTCCTTTGATTTAAGCTGTCCAGCAGGTCTATTGAGGCACTTGTCCCCAGTGTCCAGTCTAGCCAAAAGGTGCTATTGTGTTTTTCAGCCTGTGAGCCAGGTATTCCCAGAGAAAGGAGGGATTGCATGCTTCTCCCTCCCCTGCTCTCCTTCCACCGTTGACGTGGAGTAGGATGCAGGTGGGGTTGGGTGGTGCTTCTGCCTTCTGCAGCGTAGATGTAGACACAGCCTCTTGGACTTGCTGTTGAGCCTTTCAGGTGCTAGGCATAGGATTGCTGCTTGCCAGCTGAGTAACCTTCTGTGAGAATGCCTTCAGAAATAGATCCAAGTCTGCTGTAGCATCCAAACTGGAAGGCAGGGAGGTGACTCTTCCTTTGGGGGGCGGGGGAGGCTCTTCTAAGTTAAACCCCCTCACATAGCACAGTGCAAGTGAGGAGTAGTGACTCTGAAGTCCACCTTAGCCAAAGCAAAGTTGTGAAATGTGCGTTTGTAATCCACTTCCCCTGTTCCAACATGTTCTTCAGTTGGGATTGGAAAGAAGACAGTCCTGGCAGGCCATATACAATGGGGTGCTGAGCACCCTGCAGTCCCTCACTGCATATGCTGGCACCTCTTTTCCCTTGAATAAATGAATCTACAGCTCCTCAACTACAACCTTAAGAGGGCTGGAAGTAGCTGGTCCTCTGTCTTACAGTGGGGGTAGCCAGGAAAGGATGCCAAAGCTACCTCTCTAGCTCCCATCTTGTCTGGGGCTGAACCTTGGAAGCAAGCTGGCACAGGGCTTTGGCTTTTGCAAAGGTTGCCATGGTGGCAGAATCAGAGATTTGGGATCATTCAGTGTCTGAGTTCTCTCCAGTGAAAGTTTGCTGGGAACAGCACCTGCCTTGTATTTGTATAGCTCTGAGCTATGCTGTAAACAAGCCACTACAAACCCCTTGGGGTTCAGAGTTATTTTCACCATCCCCAGGGCCACTGAGCAAGGCCTGTCTGGCACAGGTTATTTCCATGAGAGCAGGCTTCAGTCGCTGGAGTTTGGAGGCCCCAAGGTTCATCATCTCCTTCAGAAAAGAGTATTAAGCTGAGCCATATGTAACTTGCTGTTGCTCTGCTTTTTTTTTTTTTTTTTAATTTAAACTGAGATCATGCAAGATGCGTGATTTCAGTGCAGCTTGTAGTGGTTGTTCACTGTTGTTCAGGATTCAGCATATTGTTGGCAGTAGATAAACATACTCAGCAACACTGGTGGGCTCTATGTGGGCATAGTTGAAAAAGGATAAAACCATCCTCTTAAAAATCCTCTTATAAATTGCTATTATAGGCTATCATAAATTGTATTACAGTATGATTCAAGAAGTGGCATGTTTTTGTTTGTTCCATACTACGCAGTTTGCGTGGTTAGCAGAGCCACGTTAAAAAAATGAGGCTTGCATAACCTTTGTTGTTTCACTTCCGTGATTGAGAAGGGAACGTCATAGCCACAAAAACGGCAGAACTGGATTGGGTCAAAGGTCTGTTTGATCTTATGTGCAGTCTGTATGTGAGATAGTGGCCAGTAGCATCAGTGTAAGGACAAGAGAAAAGAACAAGGCAAGCAAATACAACAGTACGGATAATTACAGATTCTTGTATATAGCCTCCAACTTACTGTGCCTTGTAACTTGGAGACTTTGGAGCCAGAAGTGGTCCTTCTGTCCATAATTGCCCTACGTGGCTTTTTCTTTCAGTAGTTTGTTTAGGTTGTGGGGTTTTGCTTTTCTTTTTTGAACTCATGTAAACTTCTAGCATTTGTGGCACCCCGTGGCAGAGTTCCACATCTGAACTACAACGCTGCTGTAGAAAACTGTATTTTGCTTGTCTGAAACTAACGTGTACTAGTTTTATTTGATAATCCCTTCTTCTTGTGTTGGAAATGTGAACAGTTGACCCCTCTTCTTTTCTACCTTCTAACTGAGAGCCCTGTGGTTCAGAAATCTTCACTGCTGACATGGAAACAATGAAAAAGAATGGGGCTTGCCATGCTAGGAGCTGAAAATGTACAGGAGAAATAAGGAGCATGCAATCTAACTAAATGACAGCCAAAATTGGATAAATTCTCCTCTCAGAAAGTGAGATAACATGAAAACTTCACCAAAATTGCACAAGATGAGTATAATAGGAATTCAACTGAAATCTTCACATTTCCAGTGAAGTACTTTAATCACAAGATCATTGCACTGTTGTTGCCTCTTGAATACCCTGTGACTTTCTCATATGTAGTAACTTTTAGAAAAAACTTCCACCAAAATCTACGAGCTTGCATTTGGAAATTCAAATACAGAGCATGTACCTTACTGAAGCCTTTGGTTCTGTCTGAAATATTAAGCTTGATCCTTCCCCTTCCATCTTAGACATTTGAAGAGCTGAAGTCCTTTTTGATGTACTCGACAAGCATGTGATACTTAAATAACACAAGTAGCATGCATCCTGCAAGACTACAGAGTTTTTGTTTGTGTCATGCAAGGTCTCCTTCTTTGTGAGATTCTAAGCTCAGAGTCAAAGCCAGAACAAAACATTTTTGTATGAGTTGTCAGAGATGTCACTTTATTCTCCAAAGGTCTAAACGATTATCCAAATTGTCCTTTTCTGTCGCTACAGTCACATCTACTGAGAGGCAGAGTTTCTATAAATTTGTTTCTTTAGATGTGGAGGAGGCTGGAAAAGAGCACTTCTTAAATGGGAGGGTTTTTTCAGATCCAGTTTGACTGTTTTGTATTTCAGGTCAATAGAAACTTTTCTTTGAGTCTCTTGAAATTTTGGAAGGATTCAAGTACACTGCAAATACCATCAGGTATCTGGAGACTCTGATTGACCTCACACAAATAAAGCTATTGCACTCAGGTGTAACTTAGCTTTAGGTTAGTGGGTTGGAGATTGCTGACTGTATTTAAAATTAAATCCTGGAGCCATCTGAAGGAAGTGACAGTGATTTTGGTGAGGCCCTTTGTACCTAACTGCCGTGGTTAAACTGAACAAGTAGATAGTAGCTTGCTAATACAGAATGCTAGATTTTTGCCATCTTTACTAGAGCTTTAGCTCTAATCAGAGCTAGTTATGGTCTGTTTCATTTCTTTCAGTTTCACCAAAAGTGAAACAGTGGGTTTCTGTCCTTCTTTGCCCAGAAAGAAACAAACCAACCCCCCTAACATGGAAATGTAAACCTCCATTTTGGTGATCTGAGATGTTATTAATACCACAGGCTAAGGACTATAATTTTCGAAGGATTGTGTATAGTTGAAGTGGACTTCCTAGTATGCTTGAATGCAAGACAAATGACTAAAATCAGAAATGGATTTATTTACAATTATGAGCTTAAGTTTGAGGTGATGTGACGTGAGTGTTGCAGTTAGTGTGAATGCCATAGTCCTTTGGGAGTCAAGTAGCCTTTTCTAGCAAAGCTGTTCATAGCTTTACAATATAACCAGAACTCCTGCTCAAAATATAGATTTAGGAGTCAGCAACTAATTATTAGCAGTAAGCACCTCACGTTTTCTTTGAATGACTAAATCTACTTAGAGCTCCCAGTTTAGACAGGCACTCAGGAATACACTGAACTATAAGTGTATTGTTTAAGTTCATGGACTTCCATTGGATTTAACAGGTCTTAAAAGTTCAGGCTGTACTTGGGAAACCTACTGAACTGGGGACCTGCAGAAGTAACATAGGCAGGTGATAGCGCTATAAAAAAAGCAATGCCAGTACCAGCCAAGCACAGCCAGATTCTTAAAATCTAATGGCCGTATGAGGAAACGGAAGGGTCACAATGTAAAGAACAAATTTGTTTGAACTGTGATTAAAACACAGCCTGGACTGGGGAATGTGCTCGTCCCTATGTGTGCATGTACATGCTCCCCAGGCTTCTGTGCTGGCTCGAGGTGAGTTTTGTTGACAGTCACATCTAAGACTGCGTGACTTGCATAATATATTACAGGTTAGCTACCAGTAGTATCGTAACTTGTTTCATAAATAAGGTAGATAGGTATACTTTTCTGATGAGTAAGGAAACCCTGTTGAGGGATTATAGATATGGTTGTGTAGTTGCCTAGTTTGAAACTATTCTATGCAAAAGTGTAAGGGCGTTAACCTGTGCTAGAAGATAGGTGAGCCTTGTGCAATTTTGTGTGCTTAATTCCACTGAGCAGCTTTGTGTGGAGTTTGTTTCCCAGGATACAAGCCCATATTCCTTGATTCCAGTGGTTTTACTGTTTTTATATGTTGCGTGTTTTGTGCAGAGAGCAGACTGATGGATCATCCAGCACATCAGCTGGAGGTGGCTTCGATTATGCGTAGGTGGCTGCAGCAAACATCATCTATTTTCTGACACACAGACTGGTTTAGCTAGACCTCAGCCCCTGATAACCTGCCCATCCTTTCTGCTGAGAAGTATTTGTGGCATGCACACCTTTTGGACTTCGTATGTGGGCTGTCCCTTACACAAATGTGCTGGTGCTGAAGTTATGAGGGCATTAATAAAGGGGCAAAGTTAGTTCATCCTATCAGGGGAGAGGAAAGGCCCCGGTTTCCCTTCTCCATCTGAACAAGAGCGGCTTTTCTTTGGGTGACTGGCAGACAGTCTTTTGGATTGCTTTCTCCTTGTTTCTTAGACCTGCTCAAATCCATATGAAGTAGTTTTTGTGTTGGTCCTGAAAAGTCAGAGGGAAATCTTAACAGCAAAAGCAGACTTCACAAAACAATTCTTGCTGCCATAGCTAGGGGGACTGCAAACAGGCAGATATAGCTATGAAGGTGGAAAGTTACACTGATTTCAAAAAACTATTTCAGCTAGATTGGTTGGGAGTGTTGTTAGCAACACAGGGCATTAGAGCTCTGGGCTCAGGGGGTAAATTTGCCATCATGCCACCCATTTTCCCTCTTGTTCCCAGAGCCAGTCACTGGTCCAGTAATAGCCGGACATATGCTGCTACCTGTTCTGGAGGCACAATCCAGCAGTATGAGACACAGCCTCTAAAACTGGAAGCAGTGATGAGGCCTTTTGGGTGCACAACTGGCGATACAAAAGAGGATGTACTGATAGATCTACCTAATATGCCAGCATCTCTCTTTAAAATACACACGGAGATAAAATAACAGAATGACTCATTCAGTTCACCTCTGCAATGAAAGTCCTTTGAAGGTGCTTTCCCTGGTATAGTAATAATAATGTTGTGAAGACTTGGGTTTTGATGGACTCATCTGTCTATGCTTCTGACTAGGATAAAGGGAAAAGTGTATTTATTCTGAAAACTGTATTTTTGGCTTTTTGATAATGCAACTGAAGTGCCTCCTCACAAGGCAGAAAGGATGTTGCAATGTACAGCAAATCTGTTCCTGCTGTTATGCTAAACCTCAGCAAGACCTAGTCTCTTGCTCTTACAGGCTCTGCACAATTCAGTTTAGCATCGTGTAAGTACTTATGTACCAGTGTGAACTGCAGTGCCTCAGAGGCTTTTTGCACCCAAATGTTCAAAGTTTAGAGGGTTTTCGGGGGGTGGGGGGGAAGGACAGTAGGAATTAATCCAAAGCAACTGAAATGGTTAAGGAACATCTTGGTGACTTTGGTAGGTTTTGTGTCAATATCTCCTCTAGCTTGACCCTGAAAGGGACTGGTGCTTCTGCTGAACTGAGGTCCCTCAGCATGCAGTACTGGAGTCTCCACAGCTGTACATGTAGCTGCCAGTACTCGCTGTGAGAGAAGCACACTGAAATATCTGGGATACAGCATGATGTTAAGATGTATGTCCAACACCAGGCCTCCGCAGTAAGAGTCAAAAGGCATAAATGTACAGTCTTTTCATTTTATCTCTGGTTTTCTTTCTGTCCTTATTATCTTGGGTACCCTTTGGTACACCATTAAGCAGTGCAATTCCATAGTGCACTAAACTCCTTGTTGCATTCCTAGGGCTCATCAAAAAAACAGGAGGCAGGATCTTATTCTATCAGCTTCTGCTGTATTAGGCTTATTTAAATGCAATCCTACTGTCTTCCATCCTCATTCAGTTCTGTTGGAGAAAAATATCAAAATGCTTACAGGTCTTATACGCTTTAGCTTCCACTAAGTATAAATACCTGGATTTTAGTGAAGTACTAGTTTAGCTCCATGTCTGCTTGTAGATACAATTTTTATGTTAAGAACTGAATATTTATTAGAAGAGTAGCCATATTATCATAGAATCATAGAATGGTTTGGGTTGGAAGGGACCTTAAAGATCATCTAGTTCCAACCCCCCCACCCCCCCCACCATAGGCAGGGACACCTTTCACTAGACCAGGTTGCTCAAAGCTCCATCCAGCCTGGCGTTGAACACTTCCAGGGATGGGGCAGCCACAACTTCTCTGGGCCACCTGTTCCAGTGCCTCACCACCCTCATAGTGAAGAATTTCTTCCTTGTATCTAACCTAATTCTACCCTCTATTCAGTTTAAAGCCATTACCCCTTGTCCTATCACTACATGCCCTTGTAAAAAGTCCCTCT